AAGCAGCATACATTTTCTCAGTGACTAAACTAACTTTCTGATGCCAGAGTAATATTTTATATTGCTGTTGAGGGGAAAAAAGAATAAATATCACACGTAAATATTCAGAAAATGTTGTATTGAGCACTATTTTTGCTGGGATTTTTTTTTAAGTTATGTTGGAATAAAGCGAAAAGGGTTCTTTTATATTGTATGCCTTCAGGCACTTGAATTTAACATATTGTGTGTTTTAGACTGATGTGCTCGCTTGCCAAAGTCAATATGCATGTGATGCTTTTTTACTATGAGGAGATATAAATCTTTACATGTTCTGTGCTGGCATGTGTCTGTCGACATGTGTCAATGTCGTGTGCATCTGAGCATAAGCCAGACCTCTTACTTGCTCTTACGAATGGTTTTGTCCTTTCCAGTGCTAATTATGCTTGACATTTTGCCTGCTCAGAATTTGGGGGATAATATATTTTAAAACCAGAAATTGCAGCCTGGGAAATGTTAGCTAACATCTGCAGATGTTCTAGGCTTTTCAGTAGGTTTGTGTTTCAGTTGATACTGCAGGGTAGCAACCGTAAGTCAGAGTCCTTCCCAACCTGTGGTTTAGTGTTTCTCTTACCTTACCACAGTTGTTTCCTTGGTGTATTTTGAATTTGAGGTCTGGAGCTGGGGTGAGGGGAGAAGACAACAAGCTGTTAACCCAGAGTTGTCTGTCGCTCGGCACAATGAAGTCCCATACCAGTTATGACACGGTGACCTGTTTGCTGAGCAGCATCTTGTAGGTGTGTTTCATTGGTGGTCTTAAGGGGGTGGTGGCAGCGTTTTGTCACAGCATGGAGCAGCTTGTTTGTGAGGAAAAATTTGGGGCAGAAGGTCCTGCTTTGGAGAGCTTAAATACCTGGTTAAGATACATATTTGGCCAAGTTTCTGAGACTTCTAGTTTGATTCATACTGCAAGATGACAAAGGGATGGGGAGAACAGAGCTCAGTTTCTAGTCCTGTTATATTGAAAACCTGAGAGCGATTTGTTTTCTGTCTGTTTTATTTCGGTACTTGCTGATGTTTATGAATATGGGTATTTGCTTGTGCATTAAGATAGGAAATCTTAAACCTTTAGATGGCATTAGCCTTTTAATTGTGTTGTTCTTATTTCTAAGCATTGTTAATTGATTTCCCTCCCCCCCTCCCCAGTGCAAAAAAGACAACCCATGAGTTATCTGAGTTGCAGAGCTATGGTCTCTGATGCTAATACATTTTCAATTATTTCTTGGCTTACACTGTGGAAGTGGTATAGGGTGTGCGTATAAAACAAAGACCTTTTTAAAAAGCAGTTTTCAAGATCTTGAGACACTTTGCAGCATTCAGCCTGTCACAAAGTCCTGTCTTTTGTGCTTTTGAAAATTAGTCTGAAGGAGTTTCTGAAATCATCCCTTGTGCTTGATAATTTAGTTCAGCATCTACATTGTAAGCTATAGAATGATGCTCTTGCCTATCTTGGATGCAAATACTGATGGCCAAGAGTCAGGGAGCAGTGAGAGCAGGCTGCTCCACCTAAAGGCAATCAAGGATGGAAGGAGACGGGCAAGGCAGGTGGGGGAGGCCACCTCACTGATAAGGGGCAGTCCCACAGTACTCAAGCCAGGAGAAGAGAGCAGGTCCCGTGATGGCAGGCAGGGTCAGCCACAGCCCAGTGATGGCCAGACAAGACTGCAGCAATGAGTTAGATTCAAGATCAAGTCAACAAGCCAGGGTCAAGATCAGCCAGGCACGTGGCTGGTCGCAGGCATCCCTGAAACCTGCTCTGGCAGGAACCGAAACTGAGGGCCTGAGCTTAATTGCCTCTCCTGAATGAAGAGAGACCAGGCTCTCACTTCTCACAGCTCTCTTCCCCAGCTCTTTCTGCTGTGTCTGATGCCAGCTTCCAGCCGCACCATGTCAGAGCTGCCCACTTGCACAGGCAGCCAGAGCCCCGGCAGGAACAAGAGGCTGGAAAGCATGTGGAGGGCCTGGACACTGGAGCTAGCAGAATTAGAAAGTGGAATACACTGTGAATAGGTGCAGCACTTAATCCCTGTGAAGGGGAACTGGTAATGTTGATGCCAGGTGTATTACAGTATTGCATTTGGTCAGCTTCCATGGAAGTGTAGTGGTGGTTATAGCCATAACTTTCTTTTGAGACAGTTAATATTTTCCTTAAAGGTCAAGGATGCCAGGTGGAAATGTTTTTTTAATCTGTGTATTTGGAAGGAGCAATGAAAGGATAATGGTATCAGTAGTCAATACAAGCCAAGACATTACTTTCTTACAATTTGAAAGCTTGGGATCTGCTATTAAAGCTTTGTTGTTTTATAGAGCATCGCAGTTATGAAGGTCAATGTAGTTTTAATTTCAGCTGTAAAAACATGCGGTATTTATTAAAACTGAGTTTGTAGTGTTAATTGTAATGCATATTTCACAACTGTTTTCTAGACTTCCTATGTTTTATCATAGCAAACATAGTTCATATTAAATTGTTGAATAAGGCTGAATTTTCCTAGCATGATTGCTGCTGTTATCTATTTAATTAAGAGTTTATTATGAATATAATATGCTGGTGAAATAATACAAAATACTATATCTGAAAGCTTTGAAAAGTTCATTCAAATGATACATTGCTTTTTTTCCTTTAAATAGATGTTCCGAAATGCATTGGTGAAAATGTTTGAAGCTAGAGACTTGGACTGTGTTTTCCTAGAAACAAACATGGGTATGAAGAAACGGTATCACATGGTGTATGAATGCGTTCCTCTTCCAAAAGAAGTAGGAGATATGGCTCCGATCTACTTCAAGGTACATGAAAATGTGTTTTTTCCTTGGGTCATTTGAATATATTTATCATAATTCATCTACTTCTGGAAAACTTTTTGTTGATATTCAAGTACTATTTTTGGAAAAATGGATTCTTTGATCCTACTTCTTGATCCATTCTTTGATCCTGTTCATTGATCTTAAAACAAGCTCTATGAGGTCATACTGTTTTTCAGGTAGTCAGTGGAAGAGTTGTATGTCACTGTGTAGTTGCTTCAAGTCCGAGTTCACTGACAGATACTGGGAGAAGATGAGAGAACTGTAGTTTCTTGAAGTGCTCTAAGGATTGCAATGCGTCTCACTTAAGTCCTGTAATATAAACTTAAAACCCCATATGTATGCCTTGGCAAGCATAAAATGAGAATGTAACTTCAAGGGTTTTAAGAAATACCAATACATAATGTTTTATTCCCATTTTGTTTCAGTAAGCCCAAATTTTATATGTGTTTTATGTCTCTGATGAACGTGAGACAGCATGATAAATATTTTCCTGTAGCTTTGCTGGTCTCTTTCCCCTGATCCTGTAAGGAAAGGTTCATTGGAGCTTCTGCCTGGAGCTGAGGTCTTTTGGCTTTTAGCCACTGGATCATGATTTGCCTTTTATAAGTATATTATTTGTGCTTTAAAATACTATTTTTGGTTTCTGCCAATAATGTGGTTGGTTTTTGAAGCTGAGCAGTCAGTCTGACAAACAGCAATTCAATAACTTTTAGTGCATTTGAAACTCTCCACCTGGTTGATTTTATGCTAGTAAAACTTGTGTTTTGTCTGAATACTAAAGGAAAGGCAAAGTACAAGATTTAAAGATTTAAAACTTTCTTTCAGAAGTTTCCACCCTTGAAATACACAGCAAATGAAATTTAAAAGGTACCTGCACTATACCACACTATACCAACTTCCACAGCATGGAGGATACAGAGACAGCTTTAAAGGTTTTTATGTGCAATCAGCCTTCTAAGCTGGATTCACCTCTTAGTGTTTAAAAAAGAAAAAAAGCTCATATAGTGTAATGAATTCATAAGAGGTTTTCTATGAGCTTAGTAAAAAGAGAGTGTGACCTTTTAGTTGAAGCTTTTTAAGAGATAATTTGTGTCAGGCAAAAGTTAAATTAAAAAAATAAAAAGGAATAGAATTAAGTGAGTTTGAAGATATTTTACAGTGCCTTTATAAAGTGTGTAAGTTCTAGCAATCAGAAAGGTTGCCAAAAATAAAGTTACTCTCTTAAGAAATAATTGGTATTGTAGTGCAGTGTACTTCATTACACTGAAAAATTAGTTCCTTGCTTGTTGTATGAAGGACTATTTTCACATTAACTTAAAATGATTTTACAGAAAGCTATAATGGAGTCTGATGAAGAGTGGTCCATGAACAAGAAGTTAATTGATCTTTCTTCAAAAGATGTTCGGAAATCTGTAAGTAATGAAATGTATTGGACACTGAATTTCTCAGCAAATTCTTCTCATCTTTTTTCGTTATTAACTGTTTCAAAGAGAGAAGAAAGGGAACACAATTAAATTAGTGCATCAGAAGACAGCATAGGTATGATGAGAACTGAGAGTCTGACTGAACTCCTAACTGACGTTAGGGAAAGGATTCCTATTTATTTCAACAACGGGTGGACTGAGCTGCAAGCATTGGTTGAAAACAAAGCTGGCACTTTGAGGAGATGCACCAGCCTAATTTTCTTGATTAACTTTAAGAATTAAGGTAGATCAAAGATTTGCAAATTACTTTACTGGAAAAATATGATGTGTCTTTTTCATTGACTTAGAAGAGCCTTTGTGTTGCTAAGTTTATGATGTGAAATTATAAATAGTGTTATAAGTCTTTCTTTTGAAAACAAGGGAACGGTATTCTGTCTGTCTCCTGGATACTAAACTGAAACATCTTTGTGTATACAAATCTTAAAGGAATGATGCCGATACTGTTAGGTTCAATGATTGTTCTATCTTTTTAATATTAAAGCGGAATATGTGTGATAACTTGACTTTATCACAAGGAGTTGACGACTATGTAGTAATAATAGAAATTTCTGAATGTGTCATTTAGTAAATACAGTGCCTTTGTGCTAAACCAGTACCAGTTTAGGAGAAAGAGGAGATGGGTTTTAATAAGACATGAAGCCTGTTATGAAAAAAGGTGAAATTAAATGCATAAGAGTAAGGGATTTGGTGGCTCTGTAGTATAAGTTTTATACATTGTGATGGCTATTGAACGAAACCAACAGTGATAGGAGTTGATACTCCTTGATATGTAGTAATAATACTAAATTTCTGAATGTGTCATTTAGTAAATACAGTGCCTTTGTGCTAAACCAGTACCAGTTTAGGAGAAAGAGGAGATGGGTTTTAATAAGACATGAAGCCTGTTATGAAAAAAGGTGAAATTAAATGCAGAAGAGTAAGGGATTTGGTGGCTCTGTAGTATAAGTTTTATACATTGTGATGGCTATTGAACGAAACCAACAGTGATAACAAATGTAGCATGAAGACAAAATTTTATTCTGTCATGAAAGCTAAAATGGCATATAAATGTACCAGGAGTCAGCTGTGGGTCACCTTATTCGAAGTGGTGAGGCTTCACTTGGAAGACTTGGGTCTGGTTTTGGACACAGTAGTTTAAGACAGTGGCAGAATAGGAGAGCACAGGTTAGAAAACTTAACTAAAGAAACTGGTTTAGGTGTTGTGCAGTTTAGGAAGGAAAAGGCTGAAATGGGGTGTGGTGTTAGTGTTCTGTACATAGGATATTTTCTAAAATAAGATAGTACTTAGCTGTTCACTAGCGCTGTTGGGTGCAGACAAGCAGCAATTGAATTAATGTGTGGCAAGGACTTAAGGAAGACTTTAGATGGATGTAAACAGAAACAAAATAGGTATGTTTTGGATATCTTCTGCTTATGGGTGTTTCAGAGCAGTGAAAGCCAACATCTGTCACAAATAAATAAAGTATAATTTTCTTGGCTTATGATAGGGCACCAGGACATTTGATTTCTGTAAGAATCCTCTTAGCCATACATTAGTGTCTTAGTCACATTTGTGACTGCGTTATATACATATTTGAAGACAAGTCAGTTTTCAAATTAAATCACGACACTTCTTTTAATTAATAAAATGCATCTGAGTGTAAATAGTTACACAGTTGTGTGATTTTTAACATCTTTTTAGGGTAAAAGGAATGTCTGTAGCCTTCGAGAGGATATGACAATATAGTTAGAGACTGGACAGAGGTTTGAGAGGTGTGTTAGATGGTGATGCCTGGAATAAGGGTCAGACATGGCTGAGACATCATCTAATGGGCAGATTGTGTGCAGAAATTGGGATATGGTGCGCAGGGGCAGAGCCTAAGCGTCTATCCCTTGCACAGCATCAGGGCCTTCTCTGCGTCTCCCTCTGCTCCCTGCAGTGAGGGAGCTGGGAGTGGGCAGTGGGCTGGGAGGGCACACAGCCAGGAGAGCTGACCTGTCAGTAAGCGCTGTTCAGCAATAGTCAAAACGCTGGTGCGTTGTCCGCGCTGGTTTAGTCACAGGTCCAAAGCACAGCCCCATACAAGCTGGAGTGAAGAAAACGAACTCCATGGCAGCCAGACCCGATACATTGCTAGATACAAGTAAGATAAAGCTGGTGTTTTCCTGGGCGTCACCTGCTGACCCTTTTTTTTCCCTTAGGTAATGATTTTTTAGTTCATTTAAAATGTTTGATGTTTCTTGCTATGCTACATTGCCCTTCTGTATAAAATCTTAATTTTTGGAGTGAATTTTCAAGCATTATATGGAATATGCCTTGTGAAAATTGCCTAGTTATTTGGATTGTAGGAGAGGAGATGTTTATAAATTTGAGGCTTTGTAAATCTTGTCTGTACAGGAAGATCCTCAGCAATTAAAAGAGTGGAAAATAACTTGTTGCAGTGAAACAACAGAAATTACTTGCCATACTGTAGCAAGTGAATCCACTTCTGAGGCACTTTTCACTCTGTCGGACTGAAGGGTCTTTCCCTGTGGCAGGTTATCCAGTCTGTAGACTGACTGAATTCTTAAAATAACTGAATTGGCTAGTTAATGACAAATTCCAGTCATGTAGTGGGGCTTTTCTGGTGGTGTATTCTCCATAGGGGTGTTTCCCCTTCCCCCTGGTGTCAACGTTTCCTCTGGGTAAGCATTTCCTGTTATCACACAACACCTCATCTTTAACAAATGCAACTTCCTCGTACTAGTCTTAAAATTTCTATTCATCCCATGTAATTCAGAGTTGTGGAGTCAGGAAGGCATTTGATAAGTGTGGATGCTGTTGCCTGGTTGCTCTCTGTCTCTTACCTGGTGTTGTAGCTGTGTCCTCTGGACATTCTGCCACCCAGTAATCATCTTTTCAGCATTCAGTGTCTCTATCTAGTTGTTGTGTGTTGTTCTTTCCTCTTGCCTGGTGGTTTTTTTTTTTTTTTTAACTGTTTATCTGTAGCAATTCTATAACTCTGAGAGGAAGTTAAAAATAAAATGTGATATTATGAACTGTACAGCCACTTTCAAAGTCATTAAGTTGCATGGAGCTTAACTAAACCCCTACAGTCTGTTAAAGATCTAAAAATGCTTTTGTGTGTGTGTAGGTTCCGAAAGGATTCCCATACTTTTCTGTGGACTTTGGTCTTCAAGGAGGATTTGCTCATATCATTGAAGATCAATACAAGTTCCCTCATTACTTTGGAAAGGTATTGTCATGTAAAAGATCAATTTACCAATTACACTCTCTTTTGTGAAATTTAATTACTTAAAATAGTGCTGCCAGAACAGTCACTTTGATGTACCTCACCCTAGTTTATTAGCTGACTTTTCTTGGTGAGTCATTGTAACTCAGCTTGGTGAGTAAAGGAGTAGTTGATTTCTTCACTGGCTGATACTCAGAATGTGATTCTAGATCCATGTTTCTCTTGAATCAATAGGAATTCTCAATATTTGACGTATAATCTAATAGATGGGGAGATACTTGCATCTATTTAGCAGTTTTCATGGCCATAGTGTTCTCCTAAGGGTGCACTGACTCCTGCTTGTATAAATTAGGGTTCATACACACACAGACTCACAGATTAACTACACAAGTATTTTACTAGGATCACAGATTACTCCTAGTAAAATACTTGTGTAGTTAAATTACTCCATGTGGTGTAGAGAGTGTTGTATATGCAGGAAGAACTGGAGTAAATTCTTCATTTCTTTATTATGTCACATCAGTCATTTACTAAAAAAGTCAATATTGTGAAAATGTTAAGAGACATTGGGGAGAAATAGAACTTCAGAAGAAATTTAAGAAAAGTTCCAAAAAAGCAAGCTGCCCACTTTTCTCTTGTCACAAATGTGCTAATATATTAACAATCTTTCAATATTAGGATATTTATGCAGTGCATTGCTATGATATACTTAAAAGAATTATGCTGAGGCAACCATTTCACAACTACAGTTCTACTTTTTGAGTGGGTATATTTTTCGGATTTCCCAGTTTTAGTAACTGGCACTTGAAAACAGTGACAAATAATCTCATCATTTGAAAAAATACTTGTCTTTATTCTATGGTGAAATAGTGTTAAGTAAGATGGTAATTTTGCATTTATCATTCTTCCTTCTACTTGCAAAGGAAATTATTGGTGGCATGCTGGACTTGGAACCGCGGCTCTGGAGAAAAGGAATCAGACAGAACTTCGAGGATCAGACTAAGAAGGTGTTGCAGTTTGCACAGTGGTGGAAGCCATATGACTTTACCAAAAAGAAAGAATGAACACATCTCTGCAGTCAAGGACTATAGAAGCCATACGTGATGTTACAGGATATTTTATATGTTAAGAATAATACTAGTGTGTTATGTATGCAAATATATTTTAAACCCGAGGATATTTTTAATAGAATATTGGTTAATTGCTGATTACCTGTTTCTGTTTTGGACACTGTGGATCACGTGAACCTGCAAGCCTGACAAACCAGAAGTGTACAGTGTTTTTAGTTTTTCAATTTTTTAGCAGAGCCAAAAGAATAGTATCCATGTGGCTATGGGAGTGCTTCAGAATGCAGCTTCTGGTTTTGGGTTTGTTGTGATCTTGGAGGTAATGGATTTTTTTTATATTGTATTTCGCATAGAGCTGGTGCTTAATTACCATGGTGACATTTTGTGGAAAGTCTACACTATTTTAAGAACATTTAGATTAATACAAATACATTGTTGCAGAAAATTGTTTTCTGATAGTCCCTGTGTTCTTTAAGTTGAGGTCATTGCACTAACACAAACATTCCCATAGGATGTGATCAATAAACCTGCTAACTCTCGCCCTGCACAAGAATTAAGGATTTTTTTGTACTTTCTTTCAATATAAAGTAGTATTTTTCAAGCTAACCTGTTGCACAAAGGATGGGGAGACAGTCCATAGCAGGCAGCAGGTGACAACTTTAATGGTAAGGTACTTTTGATGACAGTTAAAACAAACAGACAACAACAAACAACCAAAAACCCCAAAAAAGAAAGAGAGGAAGATGAAAAACCTTAAAGAAAAACACTCTCCAGTGGCCAGCAAAGAAGAAAATGGTCACAGGGATCTCCCTGGGTGACTCTCCTCCCCTCAGCATCCCCGCCAGTGGAGCAGATGGTCTGCTGTGACAGTTTTCCTTGGGACCTGCTCCGGCTCCCTGCTGGCTGTTCCTGCCTGTGGTGCTGTGAGTGCTGGTTGGAGCACGCTCTGATCAGAGGCAGGAGTTGCATGTCAATTGATTGTTCAGCTTTGTGCATGGATGTCACTGGGAAATGCCTGACTGCTGGTTTAAGGACTACTGTCTACAGTGTCTACTACTGTCACTAGGTTTTGGGATTTTTTGTAGACAAGTTACAAAATGGTGGTAAGAAAGAGCAGGGAAGAGGGGTAAAAAGGAAGATTCTTGCATCACCGTCACTTTCTGTGGGAAACCTGACATAGCAGTCTCAGGCTTTGCAGGTGCAGATCTGGGAGAACAGAGCAAGGGCAGAAGGACAAGGATGGAAACTGTACCACAGTGTCCTCGCAGCGCACAAGGGAAAGGGTGCAGACGTGCAAACAAAAGACTGCAGTGCGGCAGGGAAAGGCTCCAAGTGGCCTTTGGAAGGAGTTAGGCACAGGAGAGGTTAAGGCATGGTGTAACTGTCTCAACGTGCTTCCCCTTCTT